TTCTGAGGGATGATCCAAAATTGATTCTTGGATTATGAAGAGCAATTGTTTTGCAAATGGGCTCGTCCGGATAACTTGTTTGGATGTTCTCATTTTTTAAATAGGATTAGTAAAGAATTTTTTGAAAATTCGAATATTATTATATTTAGTATAAAATTGATATTTGGTTGACCTGAATCTTATTAATAGTGTGTGCTGATTTGGTACGTGGTGCCAAGGACAAGAGGCTTAGGGTCAAGGGACCAGTGAGAATGCCGACCAAGGTTCTTAACATTACCACTAGGAAGTCTCCTTGTGGTGAAGGTATTACATCTAGCACAATTATAACGAATTTATTTTTCACATATATGAAACTTGGCTGCAATTTGTTGTATAGCTGCTACAACAATGGGGAGTTTATCCATTTTGCAACTACTGGTTGTGGATGACTTTGTTATGCATCATATTATTTATCTCAATTCAAAGCTAATTTATACGTGATATTGGTATTCTGTTGTTTCTTATTGATATGGTAGACTATAGTAAGGTGCTAAATCCTGTTGGTGCTTTGTGCTTCAAGAGTTGACTTTTAATTTTAGAAGAACAACGTTCTTTTCTTTTTATCTTTTTGCTTGTGAATTCTGAAACTCAAATCATTCTGGGACATGTGACCTGTTGAAGTTCAATCTCAATGCCGGTAGACATTTGAAAAGTTTTTCCATTTGAAATGATTTCCATTTTTTGTATGATGTAGGTGCCTCTTCAGAGACCACCACTTTGTTTCTGTTTTCAATTTTGAGATTTATTTCTATTTTCGTCAGTAGGAAGGATATTGGTAACTGTTTAACAAGAATAATCTGGTTATCATTGAACAAAGTGTAGTAAGTATATAACCACCTTTTATTTCAAGATTTTGTTTACTGCAATTCTCAGTTGTTCGGCCTATATATTACAACTTAAAAGTTATTGCAATTGAAGTTGTCTATATCAGTACTGCATCATTAATGTGGAGAAATGGGAAGAAGCGTTGTTTCATCAGAGTATTCTTTTAATTTCCATAAATTGTGAACTGCTGCTGCTTGATACTATTGGTAACAAGTTTTGATATTTTTTGTGTAATTTTAATTTGAAGGTACGAACACATGGGATAGATTCGAACTCCGAGTTCACAAGCGAGTGATTGATCTGTTCAGCTCACCTGATGTGGAATTCGTCTAATGAAGTTAATGATACGAACCCGGGGTCGAGGTTGAGGTTACCATTGCTGATTCTTAGAGTTGCCTTGCTTTTATTTACATTTCTATCTTTCGTTGACATTTTGTTATGCTGCCCTGGTGGAAGCTTGGAAGTTGCTTTTCTATGTTCGATGTCTCCAACTAATGGGCTCTAATCTTGTAGCACAGTTGTCCTAGAAGTTTTGCTATATGCTTTTGAGTTGAAATGACTTATTCGAGATAAGGGATCTTCGTTATCTTTTCATTTACCTATTAATTAACATGTTTGAATGCACTGCTTAATAAACATGCATGTCGTATGCCACGAACTTGATTTCATGAAGAAACGTTTATTGCACGTTCTGAATTATTTATCCCTCTTTGGAATTGTTCATTTTGGTTTATGCTTTAACAAATTTGCTTCTCCAAAATGCAATTTAATGTTCAAACCTCGTTCTTGCTCTGGACAGGTTCTATGTTTAAAATGGAACTCGACATACTGACGTAACCGTGACTAGATTGAAAGCTTAATTACAAAGAATGTTTTGGATTGAATCAACTGAAATTTCTCTAAATTGGGGGACCTATTGTGTCACATCGAAATCTAATACGTTGTTTCTGTGGTGAACTAGTTAGATCCAAAAGATGAATCCTACTCCCATCTAATTGGCTCGTTTTGAGGTGTCTAGTCTAATTTTCAATTATAGCTACAGAATTAGATTTTGATTTGGTTCCAACAATATTTTATTTAGTGGTGTCAATGGGCCGAGATGGCCAACGAGAGCTTGAGCTCGGCTCGTTGCCATTTGGGCTGGCTCGTGCCCGAGCTCACCCAAGCCGAGCGTCTCGGCTCGTCGGCTCGCTCCTTTTTTTATTTTTTTTTAAGCTACTACAATGAAATTTTAAATTTAAAAAACATATATATGCACATTTTCTATTTTTTTTTTAAATAT